TAATAGTTAAATCAGTAAATATTAATGAATATATTGAACCAAAATGTATACTAATTATTTTTTATAATATTAGTATGAAATAGTATGTATTTTACTAAAGAAAATAAATAAGTATTTTTTTTCTTAAAAAAGAAATATAGAATATATACCGCAAAATCCTGGTAAGATGAGTTGCTGTGACAAGGTCATTGTTGTGTCGTGCTTTGAGAATCTGAAACATGAGGGCCAGGCGAAGTTTGGTGATTACGCTCTGTTGAGCCACGAGGCGAGTGTCGTTGCGAAGTTGCTGGCATTCAGATTCAATTGCTTCAAATTTTTCCCGCACTTCCTTTTGGCCCTGCCTTATGCTTCCTGCTCTTTGCTAATCTCTTCCATCTCGGCTTTTAGCTGCCTTATGCACCCCTTTATTTTTTTCGTCTTTCTTCTCATGATCTGAACCCAAAATCATATAATCATTGTTGGAGAAGTTGGGTTAGCGGTAGCTTGTGAACAAGCCCAATACAATTTTGATTTTTGTTAATTTTTACTTTCGATAACACAACCAAAATATGAGTGCTAACAATTTATATAGAATATTAATGTAATATCTTCATAAATTTCAAGTTGAGATTAATACAAATATAATCTACAACATATGTAGCCAATTAAGGGACTTAGTCTTTTTATTTTTTTAAATATATTCAATTACAGGCCTTGGTCTTAACTCTTTTTTTTTTTTCTTTTTTGATATTCGATTACAGGGCTCACCTTTTTTATTCTTTTTATTTATTGATATGCAATTACGGGCCTTCGTCTCGAAATCCAAAGCCCTTATTCTTACCCAAAACCGGCCCGTTGCTAGCCCTACCCAAGATAATAAATGGCATGTCCAACAGCCCAAGACATAACCCACATGCAAAACAATACATAAAGAAAAAAAAAAATGGCAATCCAAACCCTACCCAGGGAAATTATATGTCCAATTCCAACAGCCCAAGTCATAACCCGCATGCATAAAAATATATATATAGATACAAAAAATATATACATAATTTGCTAATTTGAATCGTATTAAATTATAAAATATTAATAATTAGATTTTGAGAAGCCCGTATTATTTTTTGAAAAGCTTATGATATTACAAAAAAAAACCTCTCCTAATTTAATAACTGTTGTTTTTTATACTACATTGCAAAACACTAAACTCAAAAGAAATAAGAAAAAAAAAAGAAGATAAAGTGTACCCCTTGCTTGATTCCCGACGATGTTAAAATTCCGCGTCTCTTTGACAATATCATAGGAGACTTCTTCCACCGGCGGCATTGTTGTGGGGTGCCATTATTCTTCTTCTGCCGTCCATGCAGATGCAGGCCACCGTAGGAATTCCGAGACAAAGTATTCATCCTTAACAACGGCGTCCTCTAAATGATTCCCTAACGAAATGCAAAGGCAAATGGAGACTTAATTTGCTTCCCAAACCAATGGAGGAGGAAGAATTTATATTTCGATGCGCCGCACTCATGGAGATTGAACGAGTATATAGCGTGTTCCCAACAAGGGAAGGCCAAGATTCGCAGTTTTCAGCTTGAATTTCCATTTGAACGTTTATTATTCAATTTAGACGTTCGATAACAGCGAGGACATCGCAAGGTTCCGACATGAATCGCGCGTCAAGTTTGCCCCTCTTTTTCCTCAACAACCCGTAGCTAACGGATATATTTCTTACGGTGTCAAAGATGCATTTATTGTATTTTTCTTAATTATTATAAAAAAAAAATAAAAGTTAATTTTTATTTTATTTAGAAACGAGCAAAAAAATTTGCAATCAAGAAAAAAATTCAAAAAGTGATGAACTCATAATTGACAGATAGGGTTTGATTAGATTTTGATTTTGTTTGATTAAAAATTAAATTAAATTAATTTTAAATGGTTTGAATTTATGTTATTAAGTTTAAAAATAAAAAAACAATGATTAGGGTGAATATAAAAAAAAAATCGGATCAAAAACTTCTTATATAAATTTTTTAATGGTTTTGTAAATTTTGCATGATAATGGAGGATCAATATCTATTTGTCTTTTACAAAATAAACTAAGAAAATAGATTTTTTTAACCTATATCCTTAGTGCAGGAGTTAAAGACATTTTTTTTATAATAAATTTGTATAGAAAAATGTAAATCTAAACATTAATTTTGGTGTCAATGTCATGTAAATGAATTTAATTAAATAATTAATAAATTAAATATTATTTTAAAAAAAAAAACTTTTAACCTGTAAGCTAAGAGTATTGTTTACACCCATTTTTGCAAAAAAAAAAAAGAAAAAAAAAAAGAATGATGCCATGTGTCATCCATGTTAGCAAAAATTTCATTGGTTGAAAGCTGTTAGAGTAAATCTCTATGGATAAGGTTGAGTGGTTAATTCTATAACAGCAACAAAGCCGTTCATTTGTTGCGAGCTTCTAGGAGGATAATTGGCAGCATCAACAAATTAATCGAGTTGTTTTAGATATCATGCTGCCTTTGGTTTTCAAGATTGCTGCCACAAATCTCTAAACATGCTGCCAAGGGGTGTTTATTGCTATAAGTATGCAGAGAAGAAACGAAGTGAAGAAGACCAGCTTCTCACACAACTAGCTCAGCGCTATTTACATTTTAGTTTTATAAGTAATGTCTTAGTTTAAATCCAGTTTTCTTAAATTGTTTTCCTAATTTAGTCTTTATCTCTATGTTGCCATTAGTTTTAATTCTGATTTTTGTTATTTCGTTGTGAACATCTCTACCTGATATATTTAGTTTTTTTTGCAATTCAATTTACTGCACTTTGCCCCAAAATTCATCTTACTAGCTTCTTTTAAGTTTAGTTTTACGTTTTAGTTTTTATTTCGTTTTCTACATTTTCATGCTTTCGCAGCAACGTCACATTTCCTTTCTATAATTTAGTTTTCCCGCCATGCACTCTCTTTCTTCTCCTTTCCTTTATTTTCCTCTTTTATTTTGATCAACAAACTAACATTTTGGTCTTAGTTGTGGGAAGTCCCTGATGCTCTTCCAAGACAATTATTTATGGACCTTTATGTAGGAATGCAACCCCGTTTCTATGACAATTGTCTAACCAGGGTGCATTTCATAATTTATTTAACCAGTGCTCTTCCATCGACTCGTAGCCGAGTTCCACGCTTGGAAGTAGTGAGGGTCATCGGGAATCCCTCTTTCTCACTTTGAGCAAAGTGAGTGTCACGTTTTCACAGTCTTATTTGCCATGTGGCCAAAAAGGGAGATTTTGGAGACAACAAATATAATTTAGAAAAACCCATTAAAAAATTCATTAAATCAATGTCTTTATCAATTTGGTCTCTATTGTTGCTGGCGAGAATTAAATCCCATGGGTTGAAAATCTGTGAAGGGGAAGGGTGAAAGTCGGGATTGGGGTTTAATTAAACAAAACTGAAA